CAACATAATAATAATAATAATAATAATAATAATAATAATAATAATAATAATAATAATAATAATAATAATAATAATAATAATAATAATAAGACAGGTTGGCAAGGGGAGAACGGTAGGGATGCCCCCGAGTCCAGCAGCAGGCCGGCCGAACCTTTGCAAAGACAGCCTCCGGAAGAGAGGCCAGTTCGGGGAACCATCCACATTATAGTGGGAGGTTTGGTGGTAGCGGGTTGTACTTCGGCAGTGGCCCGGGCGTCAGTTCGCGAAGCTGCCCGAGAAGAACAAAACCCTCCGAAGAGGCCGAAGACGAAGGAACCGATTTCCTTCACAGAAGACGATGCGCGAGGGGTCCACTACCCCCACGATGATGCGCTTGTTGATTCAGGCAACTCGGCGGACATTCTCTTCAAGTCGGCGTTTGACCAGCTTCAGTTGCAGAGAAGCGAGTTGAAGCCTGCGAACACTCCTCTGGTGGGCTTCAGCGGAGAGGAAGTCAGGCCCCTCGGGAAAATAACACTGCCTGTGGAAGTCGGCACATGGCCCTGTGCGGTCAGACTCAACCACGATTTCCTAGTGGTCGCAACCCCCTCCCCATACAATGCCATAATAGGGCGGCCAATCACTCATGTCCTACAGGCAGTGGTCTCCACCTACTACTTGGCAATGAAGTTTCCTACAGACTTCGGTGTGGGGGTAGCGCGGGGCGACCAACTTGAGTCCCGCAAGTGCTATGTTGCCGCCCTAAAGGGAAAAACCAAGGTGGCCAATGACCTCGAGCTGGAGCGGCCTACGGAGCAAGGCGAAGAACGAGCTTCGCCCATAAAGGAAACAATCGCAATCCCAACTTCAGCTACGGACCCGGCTCAAACGCTACAGATCGGTGCTTCCGTCCAAGAACCTCTACGAACCGAACTGGTGAGTTTCTTACTTCAAAATTTAGATATTTTTGCATGATCCGCGGCCAATATGCCCGGTATTGACCCCAACCTTATAACTCACAAACTTAATACTGACCT